TGACTCATCATTATCACATTGAACAGCACAGCTATAGAACATTTCAACCACTGCAGAAAATTCTATTGAACAGCATTGTTTAAACCCAACTCCTACTCACCCCTCCCATTTTTCATTTTAATTACATAACTTACATATGGGTACATTCCTATTATAAATTTTTGTTTTTCAGTGTTGGGGATGGAACCTAGGAATTTGTGCATTCTAGGCACACACTCCACAACTGACCTACATTCCATGTCCTTGCTGTAAATTTTCTTTTCTTTTTTTGCAGGGTGGGGGGTGGGGGGTACCGGGGATTGAACTTAAGCCACATCCCCGGCCCTATTTTTCATTTTTATTTAGAAACAGGGTCTCACTGAATTGCTTAGCACCTTGCCTTTGCTGAGACTGGTTTTGAATTTGTGATTCTCCTGCCTCAGCCTCCCAAGCCACTGGGATTACAGGTGTGTGCCACTGCACCTGGCCTCACCAGGTGTTAAATTTTCTAACATTACAAAACCCTCCCTTTCTAATTTGAGATCTCTCCCTAGAGATAACTACCCCAAACAGTTTGGCATATCTTCATTTTGCTTCCTTCCTTCAACAGTATCCTGGGTGTTCATTCAAGAATATTTCTCTCAGCTGGGCGCAGTGATATGCTCCTGTAATCCCAGCGGCTCCAGAGGCTGAGGCAGGAGGATCTGAGTTCAAGGTCAGCCTCAGCAATTTAGCAAGGCCCTAAGCAATTCAGCGAGACCCTGCCTCTAAATACAGTATATAAAAGGCTGGGGATGTTGCTCAGAGGTTAAGCGCCCCTGGGTTCAATCCCTGGTACCAAAAAAAAAAAAAAAGTCTCTCATTCTCACTATCATCCCAGTGATTCCGGAGGCTAAGGCTGAGGCAGGAGGATCTAAGTTTGAGGCCATCCTGGGCAACTTAGGAAGACTATGTCTTAAAAACAAGAAAGAGAGTGAGAGGAAGAGGGAAAGGGTCAGGGAGAGGGAGAGAGAGAGGGAGAAGAAGAGAGAGAGGTAGAGAGAGAGGGGAGAGGGAGAAGGAGAGAGAGAGGGAGAGGGAGAGGCAGAGGTTGGGTATGTGTAGAGAGAGAGAGAGAAAGAGAGAAGGGACTAAAAAAGGACTGGGGATGTACCTCAGTGGTAGCATGGTAAAGTGGCAGAGTGTTCCTTAGTTCAATCCCCAGCACCCCACCCTCCAGAAAAAGAATGCATTTCTATCCTGGGCTGGGGGTGTAGCTTAGTGCTAGAGTGCTTGCCTAGCATGCACTAGGTCCTGAATCAATCTCTGTTCAATCTCTCTCAACCCTGTTCTTGAGTTGTTGCAGAGTAATCCATAAATTAAGTTATTTAACTATCTCCTTCATGATGGACATTTGTTTTTGTTTTTTCATGATGGACATTTGTTTCTAGTTTTCCCCACGGCAAACAATACTATATGCAAACATCCTTGTAATTCTTTCTGCACCTGCACACATGTTTTTCTAGGGTAGATAACAAAAAACCAGAATTGCTAGGACACTAATACCCGGAGGCTTGGCACACCCTGATGCTCCCGCCTAGAATGCCTTTCCACATGACTAATTCCTTCTCATCAAGCCCAATTCAATGTCATGTGAAAGGTGGTCTCTCCTGCCTGTTTTGCCATGGTTCTTCACATCTAGGTTGTATCAGTGTTATACACTTAGGGCTCAGCCTGGTTTATATATTCTAAATACCTTGCATAGGGTTTAGCAAGGAGTAAAAAGTCACATGTTTTCTTGGCTGGATGCATGAATAAATAAGCAAATAAATAAAAACACAGAAGTTAGAACATTCCAGAAACTAAAGGTGAGTCTGTGAGTGTCCTGATATTTGGCTACAGACCAAACTGCCACCTGGTAATTCCCCCTCCCCGTGCTAGGGTGCTAGGAATTGAGTCCAAGGCTTCCCACATGCTAGGCAAGCACTCTGCCACTGAGCTACATCCCCAACTCCAACCTGGTACCCGGAGCCCACCCACCTCTCTCTAGTTTTCTGTCTTTATTGGGCCATCTGGCCCTGGGCATCTCATCTTGAACTCTATTTAGGTTGGGGATGGCACTGGTGGAGCAGTATGTGTTAAGGGACCTGGCTACAGAGCACAGAAATTTGAGCTCTGGGGGCAGCACCCACTGGGAGTTGGTTTTCTAAGACTATGTCTGTTTCCTTTCACCTTTGAAGGAGCCCAGTATGCTCTGGGTTTTGGTTTATTTTATTTTTTCCCTTCCAGCACCTTAGGGACAATTAGGATCAGCTGCAACATTTCTGCTTTCTGCTTCCAGATCTGAACCCAAGGGAAGCCAGATGTTTTCCACTCCACCTCCCCTTCTCCTTGTGGTCTTAAAAACGGCCCTGTTTTCTAAGTCTCTGTGGCCTAGCTTCCCCAAATCCCAGAGCCTGGCTGCCAACTTTATTTTTAATGAGCTTTTAATAGGCGACTCCTGTAATTAATTTCATTCTTATATTTTCACAATTTCTGTCTAGGTGCCTAAAGGCCCTCAGGCACTGTGTAGGGTGTTAACTGATTTAAAATAATACAAAACACTATGGCTGTCATTAGACATTTCTCCAGTCCCTCTGATTTGTAGTTGTTTTACAATATTAGCTGGGGCCCTTGACTCAGTGGAAGGTCAGCCAGTTCACCTGTCAGGTTTTATAGAGGTAAAAACAGAGATAAGGAGAGAAGGGACGTGCCCAAGCCCCAGGAGACAGTTGAGTACTGAAAATGGTTTCAGAAGCTACATCCTCAGATCCACTACTCAGGCGTATTTGCCAAACGCGGCCAGAGTCCTCAGGCCAAAGGTGACTCGTCTTAGGTGCCTCACAGGCATCTTGAGGCAGTTTCAAGCTCCCATATCAGCCCTCATCAGCTAATGTCACCTCTGAAATTACCTCCATTCATTCTCTCCAGGCCTCCTTTCCATTTTGTGAGAGGATTTATCTGCATAAAGATAAGTCTTCCCGGATTTAGAAACAACTTGATTTTGCTATTTTTAAATCTGCCTTTTAAAAGTCCGCGCTCACGTACTCACTCTCCTCAAGCGAGTGGGGGCTGGGTTGGAAGAGCACGTGCTGGAGAGAGAACAGCGGAGCCCACCGGCTTCCCAGAGAGCGCGCCATCCCCCTGGGGGCGCACTTCTTGGAGCGCGACCGGGTCTCTGCAATCCGGAGCCAATCTGCGCCGCCTTGACCCCTGGAGCCCCGAAGACTTAGCTGGCCCGCGCTCGCGCAGGTCTTCGGGACGCAAGGCACCGCCGCTGGGTCGCCCGGCCCAGGAGGGAGAGGGAGGGGGAGGGAAGCCAAGCAGGTGGCGGTTAGGTCAGTCTGGGAATATTCGTGGACAGTTCCAGTGGATATAAATAACAGGCAGGCTCTGAAAAATCCCAAGGGGCTTGGGAGGGGGTGAGGAAAAGGGTTTTACTTAGGGTGGGGTGGCAGAGTGGCGATCTGGAAAAATCTACTACGTTGATAAGAAGGTGGAGGGGAATAAGAATTTAAGAATGAATTGTGCAAAATATGGGAATAAAAACACGGAGGGGGCTGGGGTTGTGGCTCAGCGGTAGAGCGCTCGCCTAGCACGTGTGAGTTCCAGGGTTCGATCCTCAGCACCACATAAAAATAAATAAATAAATATATTGTGTCCAACTACATATATATATATATATATATATATATATATATATTTTTTTTTTTTTTTTTTTTTTTAAAA